AGGTGAGGAGGCAGTAGGTGGTGAGGTAGTAGGTGGTGAGGTAGTAGGTGAGGAGGCAGGAGGGGAGGAGGTAGTAGGTGAGGAAGTGTACCTTTTAGGAGCATAAAAGTAAAACTTAAGAATGGCATAAAAGCAGGCCTACCCTCCAAAGCAAGGTGACATTTCTCTCTCTCTTAGTGGCATCACCATTAACTCGTCTCCAAAATTCAGGGCCTCTTGCAGGAACTGTAAAAGACAAGCAGCCCGAGCTGAGGAGGAAGGTTCGGAAGCAGGGCTTTCAGTCATACTGAGGCCCGCGTGCATGCACTGGGAAGACACATTACGAAGTGCCTGTGGACCTTTGACATCCGTGACCGCTGTGTAGGCGGCGCTGCTCCAGTCGCTCCAGTAGCCCAGCGCATCCAGCCTCCTGCAGCGCACCTGTACGGCATGCACCACACACAGGTCTCGCACGGGGACGCTGGCAGACCTGGTTTTTATGTCAGCCACCTCGTGTGTCTGTAAAATATGGCAAAGCATGAGGTTGGTCCTGGTCACACACAAGTGCATTTCATTTCAAACTTGAGCACTGTTTAAAAATTAAGAGAGCCGATTCTGTGTGCCTGGCTTCAGAGGGCCACAGTAGCCATCCCAGACGGCCTGTACCTCTGTCAGGGATTTCTCCTGGACTCTGGACGCCGCAGATGCAGTCTTCAGGCTGCGTCACCTGGAGCTGCATGTGCCAGGCCCTCTCTTACCCCACTACTGTGCCTTGTCACTAACCCCCACCCACAAAGACTTTGGAGAATTTAACTGAGTGCTTAGGTAGGGCCCTCTACAGAAAAACACTGATGCTCCAGCTCCCTCATTAAATAGGTAAACTAGCACAATTTTTTGTTTGTTTGTTTCTATATTAATTTATTTGTAAGTGGTGCTGTGGATCAAATCCGAGAGAACTCTCCCACTGAGGCACCTCCACCCCTTTCCCTTTTGATTTGAAGAAAGGGTCTTGCTACATCGCTAGGCTGCCTTGCACTTGCAATCCCACCCCTGCCTCCAGAGGAGCTCAGATTACAGGCACCGCCCCCACTCCCGGCTGCACACCCATTCAGTTGCAAGTGCTGTGACCTCATGACGCAACGTGAGTTCCCGGCTGTTCTTCAGGCTACTGTCACAAAACCAAAGCAGAGAGCCGTCGTGTGCATACTTGCCACAAAAACGTGATTCTGGTTGCCTGAAACAGCTTCATTCAAAATGACTTCCACTGAACATATGTGTACTCAAGGACACTAAGTGATGTTAAAGCTGGGGAGAGAAGCACCTAAGGCACCTGCCAGGCAAGTGCAAGGACCTGGGTTCGATTCCCGGTACCACGTGCCATGCTGGCCCCGGACCCCTGGGAGCACGGTGCTGGCCCCAGAACTGGGCGTGGTGGCTCATGCCTGTAATCCCAGCACTGGGGAGTCTGAGACAGGTGGGTCACTACGAGTCCAAACTGCGTAGTGAGACCCTATATCAAAAAACAAAAAACAGACATTAAAGGAAAACAATTCCTTGGATAAATAAGTTCGGGGAATATGAGGTGATAAAGTCCCCAGTGTTTCTTAAGGTACGATCTCGCCAAACCTTTACTATGTAATACACCACAGCTCCCATTAGGAAGTACGGTGGCCTAAGAGCGCTTGGCCACACTATCTTTCCACAAGGGACATTTGATGTGGTTAGTGTTCTTGAGACATTATAGTGGGAAACAGTGGATCAAGAAATTTTGTCTTAAAAGACTTTGATGAGGGCCCAGGGCCTGCCTCGCAAGTGCGGCATCCTGGGTTTGATCCCTGCTACAAAAAAACAAAACCCTGAGGAGACTTTGATGAATCCATTCAGTGAACAGATACATAGAATACAGTAGGATATATTTCATGCAGGTAAGATCAACCTGGTGTGTAGAGAAACTCTGACACATGACAAGAAAGAGCACTTCTTGGCATGAGGGAAGGAAACGTTGAGCAGAGGTACCTTCCACTGCGTCTCCTGTCCACGTAAGCCATAGCGAATCTGGAACTGCAGCTTATTCTCTGGAAAGATGGGCTTCTCCCAAGATATTTTCAATAATCCAATATTTGCAGTAATTTCTGCTTTCACATTGGCTGGAGGCAGTGGCTTCACTAGAAATTTTTAAAATGATGTTATGGAATAATCACTGGATGCCATAATGCGTGAACCCTGCTCTGCTTCATCTCATACTCATAACACAATACGCACTTCAAAAGTTTCTCATTCATTTCATATCTGATCCCCTATAACTCTTCACGATATGTGAGAAAGGAAATATCTCTATTTTGCAAATGAAGAGAATGACAAAAGCACAGACCATCCATGACATTCTGCAGGTTAATAAAATGTCCTGCACGGGGCATTTTGGGGCAACCAGTCCCAAAATAAACAAAACCACACCAGGAACCCAACTCGAAACTAAGGCCAGACACAAGGTGTGGCGAACAGGAAAACAGATGGAACTAGTGTCACAAGCGCTTGGTCTACCTTCTTACTCTGCTGTTTCCTGCGTCCTGTAAGTCCTAACACTGTCGCAGGGCTCAGGGCAGAGACAGGGCTGGGTCAGCACCGCATGGCGTTTGTTGTCCTTGTCTTGCCCAAGTCTCACTTGCTAAACGAAGCCACTGTGCGATAGCACAGAATCCTGTCTGCGCAGCTTGTTTAAATCACTTGTTAGATAATCAACACTAATACTTTAGGCTGCTTATTAAAACAACACCTGGGGCTGGGGAGATGGCTCAGTGGATTAAGCACTTCCCTGGCAAGCGCAAGGGCCTGAGTTCAAGCCCCAGTTCTGCCAAAATAAATAAATAAACAAACAAACGTGTGTTTGATTTATAAAAAAATTTTAAAAACTAAAATCTTTCATTAATATACACATCCATGTGATTATTCAACTCTTCGTATTCAAAGAGGCGTTCATCTCCAACCCAGTGTGATGATGGGTGTGTTTCATGGTGCATAGAGAATTTCTTTTCAGGAAAGGAGGTGCCAATATCAATCAGCCCTCAAAGGCTCCACATGTGCTTGTACATCCTGTCACTGGTCAGTTTACAGGAAGAGCTCTTTGAGGCCTCGTCATTGGTGGATGCCCCACCAAGGCCCACGCTAGAAAGACACGAAACGCTGCCCACATTTTAAGGGTGATAGAGAGTATTTGTGTAGTTCACAAAGCCTGTAAGAGGTGGAGCCAAGACTGGGGCTGCAAGCTGAATCTCCACACTGTTTTCTCTTGTTAAGGCAATATAAACCCAACTTAAAGTCAACATTTTAGTTTTGAAAAGCAAACCACCAAAGGTTATCAGGTAGCATGTGCTCTGACCCCATGTGACGTGTGCTACATGTGTGTGCTGGCAGGGTGGGGTTCCTGCCACGGTGGGGTATCAGCACCCAAAGAGTACCTCTTGCAACGAAACTGCTTAGAATAGAATTATGCAGAGGAGAAGAGGATCAGTTGACTAGAACGTTATCTTGAAGGAGAAATCTAGAAATTAAAATAAGTTTAACCTAAACTTCACAAAATGCATTAATTAAAAAGGTTTCAATTAAAATATGTACTAATTGAAAAAAATAATGAATAAAATATTAATTTTTGGCACAGTTTCTCAGCAAAATAGAATACAGCACCAAAAGATGTCCCTTAACGTCTCATGTATAATTATAAGTGAGTCATGTCTCAGAGATTTCACAATGATATTGGGGGATACATCAAATTTCCCGAGAGCTCTCTGCATCCTTAGAAACAGAAATACCTTTTGAAAAGAACGTTTCAGGTATCATGACAGGTGACATTATCTTGCCTATTTACTCCACTTCCGATACTCTGAATACTTCCCTTTCACAACCTCCCAAATCAAAGCCTTGGGCCCTAATTGCTCAGACTATAAAGACCTTTAGAATATCCAAGTCAAACTTTTGAATTAAAAATATCAAATGTTTCCATAAAAACACCAGAATAAAAACATGTAAGATAGTGTATTATTTATTAAACATTCTATTTATAGTGTCCCAAGTAACTCATCAAGTAGTATGTTGAAAACATTCCAACTGCTGGGTAAGTACACTTATAAATAACCCAAGTGAAACTCAAAGCTTTAAAACTCTCTGTGGCTGATCATCTTGATTCTATTGTAAATGGACACTTTTTTTTTTTTCCAAAATCTAGTGTGATCAGAAAAAAGGCAACGTACAATATTAACCCTCAATCACTCTAGGTTCAGACACACTAATCAAATGCAGAGAGGGCTGGGGGATAGCTTAGTGGCACAGTGCTGGCCTAGCAAGCCCAGGCCCGGGTTCAGTTCCCAGATCTACAAGCACAGAAAGGTAGGCATGGACTCCAGCCCCACGTACCTACGGACTCAGGGACGATGCATGTTGGTGGAGAGTCCAGGGACCCTAAAGAGTGGTTGACCCGAATCCACATTGTGTAGCCAGATAATAGGAATATTGGCTGAAAAATGCACTCATAAAAGCCATCCTGCTGCAAATAGCAATCTTTTGGCTCCGATATGGGATGGAGGGACGCACGGTCAGAGCAATACAGGCTGCTCCTTAAAAGATAAGAAAATGTGTGATAAGTATAAAACATCAAGAAAGCAATAAAAGTATTTCAAACCCTGATTTCTTGTTTAAAAGAGCTTTGTTCCCCGCAATAATAGATGTTACTGCTAGAGGGGCATTCATGGCTTCCCGATCATATGTCTTTCCATAGAACAGTGACTCCTGGAAATACTTCATTAGACACTAAGTAGGGCTGCAGGTGACAAAATGCTTTAGGAAGGAGATCATGCTGTTAGAGATCGATGCCCCACTGCTTTAAACCTATGCTAATATTGCATCCTGTAGATATAATTTTAAAAATATGAATCAAAAGTAGTAATACAGGGACTTCCTTGGATTTAAAGAAACAAATTCCTCATTCTTTAATACAAGGGATTAAATTGCACCACAAATCAAGAATGTAACAGACAATAAATAATAGCTTTGTCGACATCCACTAATACTTTAATATAGTTAAAATAATATCATGAAACTGTCTCATTGCTATATGTTTATCAATAAAACTTTGAAAAGAAAAAAAAATAAAATAAAATAATATCAGACCCTGATACATACAGTAATCATGTACTAGAGCAACATACTTATTTTCTCAGAAAAGAAAATTAAACAAAAATGTTTTGAGTCCAACAAACATCCCAGCTCAGAATATATGAAGCGTTTCCCCCCTTGAAAGACTCTTCCACCACTGTTTTCTCTGGATATAGCATTTACATGGGGAAAGTCGGCTACTCTTTCCACAGGAATGAGAAGGAAGAAGTGAGAGGGAAGAAAATCCATACTCTCTCATTCCGTTTTTGTACACTTTTCCTCGGTTCAATCCAGGGATTGAACATAGGACCCTGTGCTTGCAGGCAGGCCCTTCTATTGTTGAGCTCCTTCCCTGGCCCTGCACACTTTTTTTAATCTCCTCAAGATTACCAGTGTGTGTGTGCGTGTGTGTGTGTGTGTGTGTGTGTGTATGCGCACGCATGTGTGTGTGTGTACATGTGTTTGTGCTAGAATAAGAAATAAGAATGGGAAAATGAAAAGGAGAGATGAGACTCACCCCTGGACAAAGGGCAGGAACAATCTGGTGAGGGAAAGAGAAAAGAAGGAAAGGAGGAGGGAAAAGAAGTCCGTATGTACATGCGCAAGAGCGTGTGCCTAGCTACACTGTGATTTCTCCTGGCCTATCAAAAGGAATCGTTAATGCTTAAAATGTTTTTCTCTCTTTTTAACTTTTTGACCCATTTTGCATGCTTATCTCTGATAATCTGAACAACTAATTTGAAGACAGCAATATGCAATGTTGCAACCACTGTTGAACTCTTATCATTCTGTTTAGTGAAATTCTGTATCGTTTCTAATAATTGTTTTATTTTTTTTTTTTTTTTACTCTCTTTAAAAAGTAATAAAGGAGCTGGTGAGATGGCTCAGTGGTCTAAAGCACCTACTTAGAACAAGCTTAGCAAAGCACAGGGACCGTGGTTCAATCCCCAGCACCACATGCCAGCCAGCCCCGCCCCCTGGTGGGCTGAGCTTGCCACACACACACACACACACACACACACACACACACACAAATAAATAAATAAAAAATAGAAAAAAAATTTTTTTAAAGTAATAAAGGAAAATAAAAACAATCATCACTGGACGAAAAACAGAAAAATCGTTCACAATCAATCGAATGGTCAGCAACACCAGCATCATGGTGGCCACTACGACTTGTTGACTATTTTCCAGAAGCTGTCATCTAATTATAACCATGTGGCCTGTATCACTAAAGCTCACACAAAGGCTACGAGTCTTCTCCAGATTTCCCGAGAAACTGAGGGCAAGGAATTAGGATCACTTCAGCTAGTCTTTGGTCACTCCGTGTAGGTCAGCCAGGCTACCAGGCGCAGCTAGAGGGTACATAAGCCTCTCTGCAAACTCCTCTTCCTGGAGAAAACGCCACAGAAAGCATGCAGAGACGGGCTCTAAGAAGCACATGCATTTCAAGTCCATTGAGTTTTGCACACTCCTATGAGGCAGGAGAAGGCGGCAGTGGCCCTGTTTTCCTAGTTCTGTACTAAACAAGAGCAGACTCGGCATGAGTAACAGATTCCATATCTCAGGAATTGAAGAAGGCAATTTCTTTTTCAAGTTGAAATTTTATATTTTAAGAACAAATGAGCTGCCCATACAAATCACCAGTACAAATAAAAACAAGACACAAAACAGTGCTCACGAGCCAAGCGCATCCTTGAAAACTGTCGAGGAATGTTTTAAAAATAAAAGCATGGCTACCTTCTAGTCCAGGATGACATCCTTTTTGGTAATGCAGTTAGAGACAAGAGCAGATGCTGGGAGATATCTTAAATATTTTTTTTTAAAAAACTAAATAAACAGATTTATCCTCACATTACTTTTTATTAAGTGTTTATTTCTTAAATAAACTCATCTAGTTGTAAAAATCTTCATCTTGTCTCTCTGAATCTTTTCATCTGTCTCTTTTTTCCAAAATATTAACCTTTAGCCAAATCATCTAATATGTTTAATGCTTTTAAATCCTCCTCATTGAATTCTTTTTTATTTTTATGTATTTAGTACAATGTGTACAGGGTCTATATGATCTCACTCCACAGCTTGGACTCATAGTGATCCTCCTGTTTTCAGCCTCCCAAGTGCTGGGATCACAGACATGCACCACAAGCACCACGAGCCCGGGATTGAACCCCGGCCCCTGCATCTGCCTAAGCAGATGCTTTATTCCACTGAGCCATCTGGCCGGCCCATCTACACTCAATTCTAATCAACTGTCTAAGTCAGATTCAAATATCCACAAACCAACTCTTCCTCTGTGTGATCCAAGTTACAACACAATTGTAGGACATTGATTGACTTCAGAAAAGATAATTTGAAATAAAAACAAATGAAAAAATTTTTAAACCTCAGATATGAATGTTTTTAAGAATCACCAATTTATTTAAACCCTGGAACATTTTCCAGTTAATATTTTACCTTCTGCTTTTCGAAAGAAAACCTACAAGGCTAAAATTATGGCAATGTGTCCACAAAAAATGTGTTTCTCGCCATACCCCCAGAGAACTGAACAGCAGGAGCGACACTTACCTGTGATACCACAGCTGCCAGGAGCTTCCCACGAGTGACCGCGCTGGGTCGGCGGACCATCTGCAAGTCATTTTAGTTAAGTGCCCATCAGTTTCACATGATATATTGATATTGACATCTATTTAAAACACATTAAGATGTTAATATAAATTAAAAGCACCAATAATTTTCGATGAACAAATTTTTCTTACATCTTTCATAGGCATCTGAAAACAGAGCCCATAATGAAAATCTCATTTGTGCAACAAAAGGAAGGGAACCGCAGGATTCTTACCGATTACATATAACTCAGCGTAGCGGTGGTGGCAATGGTGTCCCTGGCAGCAGTACACAGCGTCATAGGTGAACACGCCTCGAGGTTTGGTGGCTTTCACGTCGAGAAAAGTCACTTTGCTCACACGGTCACTCACAGCGTAGTACTGGCTTGGAGGAATTTCCTCCGCTAAATTCACCCACCAAACAATCTCTTCAGAGGAAACAATCATGGTCTCATTTTTATAGACGCAGTGAAAGGAAACGTTAGAGCCAGCGCTTGTCAGGATTTTAGGTGGAAAGTACATGACATCTGCAACATGAGGAGAGAGGCAGCGTCAGGCGGAGACGGCAGGCCGCGCTGAGCAGCCAGCCCACGCGCCAAGAGCCGGTGCACGCCAGGACCACGCGGCCAAAGCCAGGCAGCTTGTCCCCGCTACCCCTGGACATTCACTCTCTTGGGTGAATGGCGGTGACCCAGAACCACACTTCAGCTGTCCCCTGAACACTCCAGCCTATTTGCCACAAGATGTTTCCATCAGTACCTGTCACTTGCTAACTGAGAGGCACAAAATCAGCTAAAGTGCAACACGGTTTAGTTCCACATCAGCATCAAACCCTGCTTGACGACCCAGGGAAACGCAGGGTGAGCTCTGAGGGCAGATCACGTGGAGACAAAGAGACCTGCTAGAAAAGGGGGCGGCTGCTGAGGGGAGATTTCAGGCAAAGCAGAGAAATGAGGTAAGAACAGGAAAAGGAGCTGGGCACCGCCGCACGAGCGATGCACCAGGGCACGGGGCTGGGCAAACGCTGCACAGTCTGCGGCCCCAGTCTGCGTCATCCCAGCCAGCGTCCTGTGAGTGAGCACACGAGGAATCTGTAAGCTCCTGAAACTCGATTTTAAATGCCTGGACACTGTTCCAGACTCTTTTCTCAGTCTTCTGTTACTGGGGACTCAGCTTGCCTGTCCTCATCCACGAGGAAAAGGGAAAAAGTAGCACACGGTTTACACGGGAGGCCGTTTCTACTATAGCCCAGCACGAGACCTCAGCACATTTCGATTTAAAGCAAGCCATGTCTGTGCGCAGAACACGAGGGGCTGTCTGCACAAAGACATCCCCAGTCGCCCCTAAAACCAAAACAAACACTCTGCGTTAGTTTCCATACATTTCCTCTGTTCTGTAGCAGCTTTGCAGAGCTTCAGCGACTGCATGTGTACAACCCACACAAGACTTTGTGTGGGGTTCTGTATGCCTATAAGCAAACAGAACAGGAAAACAGTTACAATTCTTCACCTGCCTTCAACCTTATCATTAGGCTGCCTAAAAATCTCAGAATAATTCTCACTTCTTAAAGGAAAGTATAAATAAGCTCTCATAAATGAAACTGAAGTTTTTAAAGATGACTCCAAAATTCAAAGCATTTTACTTCAAAATGAAGTGTATATATTAAGGATGAATCAAGACATAGGATTAAAGTCTGATATTTTGACATGATTAAATACTTAAGTATAAACTTAAAAAACAAAATAAATTAACAAAAATCTGACAACTTTAACAATGTAATACAGCACAGTTAAGATTTCTGAGTTAACTTCTGACTAATTTGAATAAAGATTACCCACACCAAGATGTTACGCAACATTTAATGTGTAATTGAGAACACTAATAATTTCCTTCTCATTACCAAGTAGTGCTACCTTGCAAGATTTACATGAATGAACTTTATTAAAAGAGAAAATAAATATTAACTGCTTAAAAACATACCAATCCATGACTGAAACAAGGAAAGAAAGACCTCAAGCTGACCAAGTGCTTCGACCCATCCCTGGCTATTGTATTCTCTGAACACAAGCAGCTGTTTTTCTTTAGAGGGCAAGTACTTTCCCTCACCCATAACGAGAGCTCCTACACGCAAAATGTGAAAAGGGTTTCACAGCAATTTCTTCTCTGCTTCGGTAACAATTAAACTGCACTTAGTACAGGTGTAAGGGCCGGCCAGATAGCTCAGCGGACTAAAGCACCTGCTTGAACAGAGGCAGCCCCTGGCCTGCCAGCTGCCCCCGCCCCTGGGGCGCACTGAGACGGGATTGAGACTGGGTGTGGTGACACACGCCTGTAATCCCAGCATTTGGGAGGCTGAAAACAGGAAGATCACAAGTCCGATCTGTATAGTGAGACCCTGTACTAAATACATATTTTTTTTAAAGAAAGGTGTTAGAAGAGTGCGGCACTTCCGCCGCTGTTTTCACTGTACACAACCTAATTGCGCCTCTTGTAGGTTTTCACCAGCCCTGGCAGAGGTCCCGTGTTCAGAATCCATGTTCCATGGCTCAAGGCCCTGCGCGGCTCTTCTGTGGTCTTGCTCTGCGCTGAGCAGTTACGCATCGCGCCTGTCCCGCACCCTCCTTACGCTCGCTTGCAGATGCCGACGGCACAGGTCGTGGGGCCCTGATCTACAACAATGTTTAATGTTTACTGGCAGCCGCCAAGAGCCAAGTGCTAATTATTGCTGACTAGCTGGCATTTTCTAGGTGGTAAGTAATCACAAATATGCTTGGTGCTCCAAGAGGTTCAAGCATTTGCTGGCTATTTTACACGGCACCTTCCGAGGCATTTCCATGCAATTGTAAAAAGCCTGAGAGCATGCAAAAATGTGCAAGAGCCACTAAGGCCACCCCATAGTCACAGCACAGCCTGTGGCGGGGTAGGATATTGCAGGGCTTCCTTGCACATGAGGAAGTTCCAGAAACCGCAGCTTTTCTGATTAAACTAACTCCAAGGACTGGGCGTGCTGTTCGGAGGCACCGCCCTTGCCTAGAAGTCACATGTCCTAAATTCAATCCCAGCCCCACAATCAATCAGTCAATCTTCAAAACTATGAAAATGTCAAATCTACTCATCTACAGTAAAAAACAAAAACAAAAAAAAAAAAAAAAACAAACAAACTAAAACTCCATTAAGTATATTAAATATGAAGGTAAAATTTTAACATTGAAGTTCCGCGCGGCTCGGGTCCATCCGCCCCAGCAACCACTGAAGAACAGTAACCATGGCCATCCACTATCCCATGGCCATGGGCCTCAACAAGGGCCACAAGGTGACAAAGAATGTGAGCAAACCGAGGTACAGCCACCACCACGGATGTCTCATCAAACACACCAAGTTCGCGTGGGACATGATCCGGGAGGTGTGCGGCTTGCCCCCTAGGAGTGGTGCACCATGGAGCTGCTCAAGGTCTCCAAGGACAAGCACACCTTCAAGTTCATCAAGAAAAGGGTGGGGACGCACATCAGAGCCAAGAAGAAGCGTGAGGAGCTGAGCAATGTGTTGGCCGCCATGAGGAAGGCAGCTGCCAAGAAGGACTGAGCCTCTCCGGAATAAAGCTTTGCAGAAAGTTTAAAAAAAAAAAAAAAAAAAATTAACATTGAAAATGTATATTCCAAATCAAGATACTTGGTTTTCGCTTGTCAGTTACAGAATTATAGGTACTGTAATGGTATTCTGAATTTAGGGCTTTTATATTAACTTTTTTTTGGTACAGGGTCTCACGCAGCTTAGACTCATAGTGATCCTCCTGTCTCAGCCTCCCCAGTGCTGGGATCCAGGCATGCACTACCATGTCCAGTTTCGGTGGCTGGCTGCACGCGGGCCAGCACACGGTACCAAGGGTAGAGCCCAGATCCCCGCACTTGCCAGGCAGGCACTTGGAACACTGAGCTATATTTACAGCCCTAACTTTAAAAAAAAAATTTAATTTGTTTATTTGGTACAGGGTCTCACTACGCAGCTCAGTCTCGTGGTGATCCTCCTGTCTCTGCCTCCCCAGCACTGGGATTACAGGCGCTGGCCACCACACCGAGACTCGAGACTCCGGTCAACCACTTAGTGTACACAAGGGTGGGGCCAGCGCAGCATGTGACCAACTTTTAATTTTTAAATAAAAACTATGCAACAAGCTCATGGCCTCAGAAAGCATAGGAACGTGGGAACTAGAACACTATTTTATTTATCAAATTAACCTGTTTGAAATTTAGGCAATAAGTTGCGTCTCCTCTTTGCTCTTAGAACCACAGAACTTAAGACGCTTACAATAAACTGAACGCGGGTCCAGGAAGCGTATTTCTCCTCAGCAGAAACTGTCCCGAGACCCACCTTGCGTGGTAAAGACGCGAGGGGCGCTCCAGTCGCTCCAGACCCCCGGGCCGTCCAGTCTCCTGCTCCTCACCCGAGCCTCGTAGGAGCAGCCAGGAAGCACGCTGTCTGCCAGGAGAGCCGGGGCTGAGACCGTCTCGTCCACCTGTCACACACGGGTTCAAGACATCAGCGCCCTGAGGCAGCTAGAACCTGTACGCTGACTGCGAGCAGGTCTGGGCAAATCCCCAGAGGAGCTGTCATGACAGCTCGGGAGGAATTGTCTTACCGCCGTAGAATGAAATCCGAAATCAATGACCAAGCAGTAAAAAGTCACAATGGCAATTAGTACACGTTGTTACTGAGGGAAAACTGAGGTAGGGATTTAGAATTTTGGGTCATGCAGCTAAAGATAACCCAGGGCCATAGAAGGAGAGAAGGAGGAGACCGAGGGAGGGAGGGAGGAAAATTGGTAGGAGGCATCTTAAGAACCGATGCCTGATCACCAACGATGGCGTATGAATCAAAATCCGGTTCACAAACCCCGGGGAAATACCTGGGATGAAACAACCTCTAGCTCAGTAAGAACTGCATACTGAAAATATTCAGTTTTTCCCACCAAGTCCTCGCAGTGATTGAACTCTCTGGTCTCTCAAGATTGGGGCTGGGGATGCCACAGACTAACAACAGTGCAAAGTGTCAGGAATGCCTGGAACAATCTCAGGTGGCCCCTACTGAGGAGCCTGCTACCTCCAGCGCACAAAGGAGAAAACATTTTCCACACACAAGCCAGGATGACCAACCTGCTCCTCATGGAAATGAAGCCCTAAAAAGTTAGCCCAGATCTAAAGCTATCTCTGAGTTACATAATGCCCAGTTCCACAATGCAATGGGCTGAAGGGTTCACACAAGCCCAGAAGCCCTGCTGAGCCCGCCCCCACCCCAAGCTGTTGAGGTCTCCAGCCTGCTCGCTCCCTGCTGGCCACGCTGGCCTCTGCATTCAGGTCCCTCTGCTTGGAGCCCAGCTCTCCCAGAGGCCTGTAGGAACACATCTTCGTTCAAATGCCACCTTCTCCCAGGGGCCTGCCCCAGCCTCCACTCACTGTCGCATTCCTCCATCCCCTCAGCGCTCCCACCGCCTCCCAGCCTCTCCTCTACTGCCCCAAAGCAGCCTGATGTTCAGAAGGCAGCCCTGGTGCTAAACGGGTGCTCAATAAATATTGGGAATGATTCAAAGAAGGTCTGACACACTTCACAGTGAAAATGCCCACACTGCTCGTAAACAAATAGATGGAGCAATGAAACAAGAAAGCTGAAATGTAAAATCAGTAGTCTGGAAGTAAAAACAACTATGAGTTCACAGTGTTTGTAACTGTACTTCCTACTGCTATGCATGGATAAGATATCTCTAATGTGCGACTCTCAACCACAGTTCATTCTGCTCTGGAAGGGATCCGCCACTGAGCCTGCAGAGGGTCACCCCTGTGTGGCACTGGGAGAGTCCTTAGTTGCTTCTCCACTTCCCATTTCACTGACTAAAGCATACTTACAAAAAATAAATAAACAAATAAATAAAGCATACTTACTTCTCTCAGAACTGTCGAAGAATTCTCCGAATATTTCACTTGATACTGAAGCGGAAATGGCGCCAGTGTTGGGCTATACCAAGAAATATTTAAGTTACCATCCTCTGTGATTTCCATATGCAAATCCAGTGGCGGATCAGGCTTCACTTAAGAAAAAAAGAGAACGCTTCTGAGCCCAACAATTGCCAGTACAATCATACCTGAAGAAAATGAAATCAACATGATGTGCAGCTTCTCCTGCCTTTCGAGTACTGAAAAGGTAACTACAGTCACAGGCTCCTTACAAAACCAAAGCCAAGCCCTCCTGCTGGGCCTGCTGTGTCAGATACCCATGTATCTTCTTGTTCTTCTGCCTAAATAAATGGTGAAGACCGTAGGTCTATAAATTAGATTCCGCTGATAACTGTGATTTTCTGCTACAAAAATCTGCTTGAGGCCAGGCCTACAAGCCCAGTTCCCAGGAGCCTGAAGCAGGAGGATCACCTAGCTGGAGACAGCCTGGGCTACATGAGGAGTTCAAGGCCATCCTGAACTGCACAACTGAGACCCTGTCTCAAAACAACATAGCACAACATCTTCTTGTTATTTGTTTAAGAAGCTCATCGCATAATCATAGTCAGATTCCTGGTTTTGTTAAGTGCATAATAAGGATATATAGAAATGTAAACTACAGGGCCAGGGAGATGGCTCAGTGGAATAAGCACTTCCCTGGCAAGAACAAGGGCCTGAGTTCAATCCCCGGTTCTGCCAAAAATCAAAAAAACAAAACAAAAAGAAATATAAACTACAAATCAGAAGCTTGACGAAGTGGAAGAAAACAGACGCTGCCCTTTCTTTTTGCACTTGTCTACACCGGCCAGGTTTCGGCAGTAGGTGTTACTCACACGCATAGAAATTATCATTAACTTGAACACTGATTTGAAGTTTATCTTTTAATAAGTAACAGGGCCCGTGTCTCGCTTCCTGTAGCTTTAGGAACTTAGACGCAGCTGTCCTCTCTTCCCTCGCCCAGAGATTAGGCCTTCTCTTAGGCGATCACCAAATATATATAACCTTAAGCAGAGATAACTGAACACTACAGTCTGGAGACAGCAAGGTAAACTTTATTATGTCCCCATGATCAAAAACAAAAGGAAGCAAAGACACAAAAGCAAAGTGAAACCCTAAAACCGCGCACGGTGCATCTCCCTCTACGTGGTCATGGGCATTATTATTAGAAATGTAAACGCGCGCGTTCCCTGGCCCCTGGGTCCCAGGCAGCTCCACATCTGCACTCTGACTGCTTCCCAGGGCTGCAGCCTCCAGCACAGGGGGCACTTCTCACTCTCTACTAGCGCCCCACACCCAAAGCACCGCACTCTGGTCAGGTCCTCCTCACCCACTGAGCCCACTGCACGCAGGCTGCTACCATGGAGGACACACAGTCACTCCTGAGTGGTCTCCTTGCTCGTGGCCGCACCCCACATTCCTGAAACACCCCTCGTGTGTCCACCCAGCACTCCCCACTCTTCCTTCCACCACCCACCCCTTGGGCTTTCTTCCCTAGCAGAGTCACCCTAACAACCCCACTTGCTTACAACTTCCACGTTAAGATACCTTAACTTCAGCCTTGGCCGACCGCCTACGCAAAGTCCCTGGGTTCGCAAGAGGCACTTTGCACACCACGTGTGCCGGGCACAGCCCTGTGGCCAGTCCTCTCCCCACTTCCCATCTCAGAACCCTGCACCAGCATGCCTCACTAGGAAACCAAGCTGGCTTTAAAACAAGACTTAAGTGTCAGTTGCAGAGACATTTAGATTACTGTTCACTCCCGCCTTACTCCATGGTCACCCTTCTCAGTGTTGGAGAAAGTGACAAAAGCCAGCGAAAAATCTCTAACCAGTAAACAAACTACAACCAGATGTGTTGATGTCCAGCCTCCTTATCCGTGTCATGCAAGCTTACCAACATTTATGGGCCGAGCAGACATTAGCGGTGACTGAAAAGTGCCCCCAGCGGCTGTGATCTTCACATACATCAGAAGGGTGCTGTTGAGCTTGGCTGTGGGCACCGGCACGCGACACTCCCAGCGACCCTCACGGCTGCCATTGCACTGGACGCTCTCAAAGCCGCCCTTCTGGGGAGCCAGGTGCGCGTCTTCTGCAGCTTCAGCCCTGATGAAAAACAAGAGCTAAATATTAAAACAGCTGGGACAGCAGGGTGGGCAGGAGAACTCCCGGGGCACCCAGCTTGACCGGCTCCTGCAGAGGATGCTGCCAGAGGACAGCGGACCACCGCAGGTGGAGTCCCCAAAGCACAAGGATGGCAAAGCTCGAGGGAAGGAAGGGCAGCCCTCAGCGCTGAGCCCCACATCGCAGGAAACAGTTTTCAAAGTAGTATGGAAGAAAGGCTTTTCCTCAGATACAACAGCAGTTAAAGAATTCATCGTGCCCAGATCCGCATTCTACAAAACACCACAGGAAGTCGTCTGATGACCAAGAGAAATGATAGCAGATGGAATAGGATTTCACACACTGAACTAAAATCATAATTATTTATTGATTATTTAAAGCAAAAATAACAGCCATGTATGGCGGAGGTTGCAAGACAGGCAGAAACAAAGCAGACAACACTGGAACCAAGCTTGGGACAGGAGAAATGTGTGCAGAGAGCCGTGATCGATCACCTTACACTACACGCCTATGATATCTTTTAAGGACATAATATCACAAGACTTTGTTAGATCATATGCTATCGATCCTGAAGCAATCACAAAAATGACAGATCAAGGAGATGCAATTAATGAGCAACAAAGAAGACTACTCGGAATCATAGGAGTTACTTAAGCCAAAGAAGGAATAAAACAGAAAAACAAAAATGAATAAATGGAACAAAAAAGAAATAACAACATTAACCTGGGCCAGGGAAATGGCTTAGTGGAATAAGCACTTCCGTGGCAAGCGTAAGGGCCTGAATTCAATCCCCGGTTCCGAAAAAAAAAAAAATTAACCCTAAATATATCAATAGTCGCAGTCAGTGCAAATGGTCTAATATCTTCTTTAAAGGGCACCGATTAGGAAACTGGATGGAAAAGCAAGACCCATTATCAGCTGCTTAGAAGAAAAAAGATGAAAATCTGATCAAGTGGATTTCACAGCATGGAGTAGGTATCAGAGAAGCGAGTCATGTTATAATAAAAAGATGTTAATTCCCTAGAAAGACATAATAATCCAAAACGTTTATGAACCTAATAGCAGAGTTTCAAAATACAGGAAGCAAAAGATTGATAGGATCTCGAGAGAAAACAGGCTAATCCATAATTATTGAGGATCACAAGAGAAAACAGACTAATCCATAATTATTGATGGAAATTTCAACTTTTTCTCAACAACCAGCATGCCAAGTAGACAAAAATCATTAAAGATAAACACGCGCGCCTCCCCAGCTCCTTGAAGCGGCACACTTCATGAGCCCCGCCAGCAGCAGCAGGCGTGCATCCTCTTTAGGAACACACAATTGCCAAGAAGACGGTGCCCCAAGCCATAGAAAAGCCACAATAAATCTGAGGGTTCAAGTCATTAAAAAATGTAATTAATAACAGCAATAAAGAACAGACAGGTATTTACAAGGGCTTTTAATAGTTGAAATTTAACATGCTTCTAAATAACTCATGGGTCAAAGAATAACATTTTAAAATTATATTACAGCATTTAAGTAAATAAAAATGAAAAAGATAAAAGAAACTGTGAGACATTGCTTACAGCAATAATTACAGGGCAATTTATAATACAAAAGTGGGAACTGAATGTCTAGCATAAAAAGAAGTCTCACAGCAATGATTTATCCCAAGCTCCGATTCAAAAATCAGGAACAGGGTGTGGGACAAACTAACCCTAAGTAAACGAAAGAGAAGGAGCAGTAAACATCAGGTCAGAAAACGCAAATGCCAATAAAGGAGGTTGGCAAGCCCACCTTCCACCTTTGCACGAGCAAGGGGACACACAAGGCTCCTGTGGCCCCCGCCCCCGCCCCGTGGCTGCTCAGGCTGTGGACTGCGGCCCTGGCCCTCTGGGTCCTCGGGGTTTCTGCAGGGCGGCCGAGGTGGTACCGTCTTTAGCTTCCTCTTTCCATCCCTTGCCGTGGTCCTGGCAGTGGCTGCATTTGCCACAGCTCAGCTCCTGTCACCGCCAGCTCGCATGTGGCTCGTGAGGTCCTGCGCTCGGCCCTCGGCAAGGAGCACTGACGGCTTGGCCGTAGTTGGCGTGCGGCAGCGCACCGCTGCTTACGGATGTGTACTCGAAACTTTCTCCACACCAGGTGTAGTCTCTTTCCCGAGATCCTGTGAGGGGAGCCCTCTGAGAAGGTCCCCCGGCTCCTGTCGGAATTCTGACAGGCAGATTGCTGTTCAGCTGTCAACTTTCTGTTTGGGGAATCATGACAGTCACAGCTCTCCTCCTTCTAAGATAATGTTCTGGTTATATTTGTTTTTGGGGTGGCCTTTAACATGTCCATGTGTGTCCATGTGTATCCGTGTGTGTGTGTGTGTGTGTGTGTGTGTGTGTGTGTGTGAAACGATGCTGACACTAAGCATGCTTGTCCCTAAATCCTTATTTGGCGAAGGAAAGAGTTGGCAGATCTGCCGTGGTTCTCCCCACAGCTGTGAAATCTCGCTCTGGAAGGACACAGTCTGCGAACCGCGGAGCTACAGGAGAGCTCAGCCGAAACGGAGCGAGCTCAGCTGTAATTCGTTTTACCACAAGAATCTCAGCAGCCGGGAGAAGGCCGCCAGCGGTGTCCCACTCAGGGCTGCGCCGTTTGCAGAACTCATGGTCCCGCTTGTGGCAAAGAGGAAACAGGATCAGGGGAGACAAGGAATTCTAAACGCTGAAGTGGTGGCTTTCTGTCCACTGCCGCAGCAGACCTTCCAGCGGGGTGCGTTCCGAGTCTCCCCCCAGAGACCAGGGCTGGACTTCACTGGAGAACGGGGGTGGGGCGGGGCTGCGGTCCTCTGGGTTTGCAGCAGGAAGCTGAAAGGCTCATCACCGAGGCTGGGTCTGTGGTGACGTGACAGAAATTCCACGTGCGCGGGTGCGGACACGTGTGTATTGCGTGACTCCAACGTCGTCTTGTCATGAGCAATTCCAGGGAGCCATTTCTAGGTGGCTGTATCGCTCAGCCACGTGCCGGGGACGCTGTGCTTGCTGAGGCTCTAAGTGGATGATTTCGTGATGGGTCTGTCCAGTCTACAACTGAAGCGAGAACTTCGAAGCAGCCTCTGCCTGCCCAGTATCGGAGAGCCCAAGGTGCGCCATTGCGTGGTCGGGTCTCCTGGACTTACAGCTCTCCCATGTTGGGATCATGCTTGTTCTTTCTTTCTGTCTGTCTGTCTGTCTGTCTGTCTGTCTTTCTAAGACAGTTTCACTATGCAGTTCAGGCTGGCCTTGAACTCACTTTGTAGTCCAGGCTGGCCTTGATTTCTCAAGGACACTCCTGCCTCAGCCTCCTGAATGTTGGAATTACATATGTGCACCACCACACTCAGCTTCCTCAATGTCCTTTTTTACTAATCTTAATATGTGAAAATATATATATATAGAGAGAGAGAGTAATAATGAGTATATAATACAGTATCTTTACTGTATTACAATAATTTATAATTCCCTCAATAAAAATACCTAAAAATATTTTTAAAATAAAATAGCTAATTCTAGAACCTTCCTAAAGCACTCCAACAGAAAGTCCCATCTATAAGAAGTAATCTAGAGCATGGCGTGGTGGCACACACCTGTAATCCCAGCACCTGGAGCCTGAGGAAGAGGATTACTTTCAGTTCTGGGCCCACCTAGGCTACGTAGTGAGTTCAAGTCCAGTTGAACTACATAATGAAACCTTGTCTCAAAAAACAAACAGAATAGAATTAATCTCAACTAATCCGAATGTCTTCAGCTACAGGGTCAGTTACAATCTACGGGCTAAATCCAGGCTTCAGCTTGGGGCTAAAGAACAGTCATTTTCAAAAAGGAGGAAAAATAGTTCCTCAAAGAGGAAGTGACAGGAAGTTCAAATGTGAGCGTCCGTGTACACCCACACCCACACAGTGAAGGGCTGTTCTGCACTCAGCGGCGGGGCTGCAGGCCCGTGACCGGGACATGCGGGCCCCAGGGCCAGAGTATCCGCTACCCAGTTCTTTAAGAAAACCTCTGCCTGCCTCACCTGCAGGCCAAAACTACCTTGCACTCCTTCCTGTGGGGTCTTAGATGGGCAAAGAACAGAAAATCAGAGAAATCACATACATCTATTATTGCATTTTATTATCACAAATTATATGAAACACTTTCAGGAACCGTATCTACTGATGATCTAACTATAAAGTATAATTTCAAAGTATAAGGATAAGAAGTCACTGATTTTTTAAAATAAGAGCAGTAGTTGGCTCAAAATCAGAGCCTCAGATTTGTGAAATTCTTGGAAATTTTGTATGAAGTGAATATCTTATGCTTAGCTAACACACACACACACACACACACACACACACACACACACACACTTCAGTGCTGCTGTCTAATCTCTCAGCATGTGAATAAACTTTACTTGAAAGTAAAAAGGGCACCAAAATATTTGTCAAATAAATTTTAAACTTTAGCTTCTTTGCACCTTTTACCTTCTGAGGCCATTTTCTACTCAGAAATCAGAGACCCAACTATGCAGTGCGAAAATTTCATTGTTGGTGGTCACGCATGGTTTACAGAAAGTCCTCTGGCCTTTGGTCCGGGTTTTCTTCCTTCCAAATTTCTCTAAGAATGTACTAAAGCACCTCTGAGCGGCGATCCAGGCTATTGGAGGGATAATAACAAAGGGGTGTCGTCCAAGGGTGTGAGTGTGACACAAGCTGACAGCAAAGCGTGGCAGACACACCCAGGAAGAGAGTGTGAATACTTAGTATTCACTTTGGAAATCATTTATTCAGGTCACTTCTTTCAAGTCTCAGGCTGGTAATCTACAAAAACGCTGCCCCAAGACTACCTGGCTAGCTCCCAATTATTTAAACAGCAGGTTGGTGTCTCCCACCATCCTTCCACTGGAGTCTGAGCGGCCACAGCGGGGTCGGTTGGGACCAAGGAGTCTACACGTGCAACCGGGCCCCGCCTCTGACCCGCTGGGTCCGCCCGGGCGAGACCGCTGACCTGCGTGGCGCTTATCAAGGAACAAGGTAAAGAAACAGCTTGTAAAACACAGAGTGCTCTTCCATGTAAAACATTACCAAAGGGAGAATCAACAAGGCCAGAGGAGGGAAGGAAAACAAAGAAGGAACACAAACAGAAACGCAAGAGCCTGCCTATCTGTCTGGTTAACTTACCCACACGGTGGGGGAGAAGAGCCGTCTAATTAACTCTGGGACATAATATTTTGATCGTGTGACCCTTAGCCTTAGTAACGTCAGGGTGGGTGTGAACAGTGCCGCGCTGCCTGGGATGTTCGTCTTGCCCAGGGGCATGTGTTAGCCCCTGTCTGTCCCTCTTGTGTACCCCAGGGCTGAGCACACAAGGAACACACAATGTGTGCGGTGGGGAAAGCCACCAGGGTTCTCACACTGGGCGCAGGGGGACCTGTGGGCATGAACTAGACGAAACATCCAGGAGGAACACAGTCAAAGGACGCACATGCAGAAAGATGCAGGAAAACGGGGCGGGGGCGGGGGGGTGCGCACTACATACAGCTAGCTTTGTGCACCAACAAGCTAGCAGCAGGGTCAGCTCAGTAACAGTGAGCACTGGCCTCCAGGTCCTGGCTTCTACTTGTAAATATCACTCTAAAATAAAAGACATCCTGCCCCCAGGAGGATGCCCAGTGTCACGTCAGGACGAGAGTGAGATCACCCTGCAGAATTCTGTCATGTTAGAAAGTAAGAAGCCCTTCCAAAAAAAAAGATGGAAGTGCAGTGACAGAGCATAGGAGTCGCCCTGCACAGGCTCCCAGGCCGAGTAGGAAGCACCCCAAGTGAGAAAGTTAGGACAACAACCGTCTGTGTCCCGCAAGGTAAGAATCCACAGTCCACTCCGACAGGAAGGCAGGGCGGGACAGAACCAAAACATCTGAGCTCAGCTTGGGCCCTGGCACATGCAGGGCGTGCCCTGGGAGGAAGGGTAGGCCTCAGAGGCCTGAGGTAAAACTGCTGACGTAGTCCAAAATCCTGCATTTCTAGAGCACGTCTCCTCCAGGTGTCCTGACAGACATTCATGTCTGAGCTCAGGCAACGCTGCAGACAATGCTTAACAGGCGCTTCATAGGGTTGTAAACCCCTCATGAATGCCAGCTTCTAGCTTTCAGAAATATGTTTGGTCAAGCACGGAAGCCTTTGGAAGTTTTCTCTTGCAAATTCTCTCATGCAAGGAAAAGGTGATTTTGATTAAAATTTTTTTTTAAATAATCACCACTAAAAAATAAAATAAAATAATCACCACCGTGGGTTTTTGCTTCCACGAAAGGTCTCGTTCACCACACTGACCAGCTCCTCTTTTCAGTCTGAAGAGCTGTACTTATTAAGAGTCTGACTTACAGTTCGGAGATCCATTGCTTAGAGAAGAACTCAGAAACGGATTTCCAGGCAGAATCAGCACGTGGCGACTGGTATGCTGGGCACAGTGACCAACCCGTGCGGAGGCGTATAGGGGCACACACAAAAATTGAGAAAGTTTCCCAAATTGAATGCAACCTGATGAAGTTTAGTCCATTACTAATATTCGGAAGCCGGAGCTCAGGATTAAAGCAGGCCCAAAGAGGCTGCTAAGTTGGTCGAGTCAGCACACTGACAGGCGTACTGAATTACCACAATCTTCTCATTTCTCTGGGGTCTTACTATTTGGATAAATTGACTAATAAGCGCTCGCTTGACTAAACCGAACTTAAAATTCTTAGGTATTGCTAAATTAGTACTCAAAACCAATGCTGTAAGACAGACAGACAGACACAGATACAGACAGGATTTACTTATATGTAAATATGTGACACGTGTGTGTACTCGTTCAGAGAATACAGACCTCAAGACAACTACAGCGTAGGCACGACGCAACTTCAGCCTTGTGCAGCTCACAGAACCGCACAGCAGAGGGCCCCGCCCCGCCTGCTGGTAAGCGCTGAAATTCTCCAGCTTAGTGAAGTGTGCACAGCATAACACGGGCCGCTGCAAGCATCATAGGCCTGGTGCTCAGTGGCATTAGGTACAGCTGTAATGCTGTGAAAAATTGCCACACGCAGCTCTAAGTGTTTCGCCTCTTCTCCAACTGAAACTCCACGTCAGACACACAGCAGGCTCCACCCCTTGCTCCCCGCCCTGGGAAGCCGCCGCCCTGCTTCCTGTCTCTATTGATCTGCTTTTAAAATCGTTGTGAGTCTGTGTTTGCAGTACCTACGGTTTCTAGGCCCTGTGAGGGGCTGGCGCCCACAAAGCACATTCCACTACTCTTCCGCTGCTCTCCTCCTCCTCCCCGCTCCCCCCCCTCCAGCTCCCCTTCCCAGCTGAGAAAGTCCAGCACCCAGTTCCTGGGATCTATCTCTTATTTTGCTCTGTATTTATGATTTGGGCTTTCTGGACAGTTCTTAGCAAACCTCTGCAATGATATGACCTCAGTAACCACAGTAATGAAAAGGTAAGTCATCTTGTGGCATCAGATAAGAGCCTCCATGAGAAACTGTTTTTTTTTTT